GACGAGTTTTCTGTTTTGAATTTTGTTTCCGTTAGCGAATTTCGGGTATTATTTGCTTCTGACAAAGGTTTTACCGCGTAACTTTTGGTATATTTTTGAGATGATAATTGTGCACATTTTGAGTATGTTCTAGAAGATTTTTACAGGGTATTTTGAATTCTGCTGAGTTTTATTTGAATAATAATTTATTTGGATGTCTGATATTGTTACTTCAGTACAGTAAAAATCTTATAATGTTGTTGTGGATATTCTGTGATAATTTGGAAAATTTCTGAATCTGTGAATTTTGTGTAAATTCCGTATACTGCCGTTATGCCGCTGATTTTTCGTACGAATTCTGATTTTTCTGAATTGATACATTGAATGAATTGAAGTGTTTGTATGCTATTAGAAGGGAGTTATAAGGGGCCAGGATCCTTTGAGATTCTGTAAGTGTTAGGGAATGGAGACATAAGGGGCCAGAATCCGTCGAGATTCTGTAAGTGTCAGGGAAGGGAGGCATAAGGGGCCAGAATCCGTAGAGATTCTGTAAGGGTCTGGGAATCTGAAATATGATATGTGATATGTTATCTGAAATCTGATATTTAATATCTGATAATCTGTGCTGTGACTTATCTGATCTATTTTATGAATTATCTTATTAGAATTATCTGATATGAATGTGATTTTATCTGATTTCTGATTTCTGTACGATTCTGGTTATTCCGTACGATTCTGTCTGCTCTGTGACTTGAAAGCTTTATGATATCTGTTCTGAACTCCGATTCGACATGTCTTTAATTTTCTGTATCAGTTGTTTGATTTATGTTGATCAAGTATCTGTTCTATGATTTCCGTACGGCTATTTTCTTATAATTTTGATTGGTGAGTGATGTCTTGCTGAACTGTGTTAGCTCATCCTTGTTTTCTGCGTGGTTTTTAAGTTCTGGGAAAGGGAAGGAGGTCTTAGACTAGAAGTTTTGTGTCTGATTTGAGATTAGGTATTTTGTACTTTTGATTTTTGATACAATCATGGCATTTCTGTTCTGTTATTTCTGTCTGAAGCCATGGATTGTATTATATATGATTGTTTTAATGAAAGAAAAGATAGATGAAATGTTATGTATTTGGATATTTATAGTAGCTCTGTGTTTTTTTGTATATTTAATATTTGGAAGAAAGTTCTGAAGCAAATTTCAAAGCTAGATCCTGGATTTTCAACAGTTCCGTCGCGACCCGATGCGAACGAGATCCGTCCCGGTCGGGTTGGGTTGTGACAGGGAGTGTGCATGTGTTTAGTTGGGTGAGTGAACCGTGAGTGGGGTTAGGGAGTTATGCGAAGAGTTATGTGAGTGTTGGTATTTTAGGGATTTTTTTTTTAATCTCTCTTATTATTATTATTAACAGTTATTCAAAATCAATTTTTTAAATTAATTGTGCGTCGACTCGGCCATCGTTACATCGTTGTCATCGTCGTTCATGCACATCAACTAGTTTTGCACGTGTAAAAATTTAAATTTTTATCGATCGACTTCTTTAACTAATATGGGTGTCAATCTTAGCTATTTTTGTTGCTCTAGAGGCATCAGCACAATCTGTTTGGCGTACGGAGATCATTTCAATGATTATAATTTTCGGTCGACGCATATCGAGTGAGTTATGCACGATGTCGCGCTCTTTTGGTTTCGAAACTCACCTTGCATAGTCGACTCGATTCTGACACTAGTATTGAGATCCACAACACTGAAGAGGTTTGAGTAATTACAGTTACAGTAAACTGTCTTGGGAGATGAATCATCAACCATTAACTGAATGCAAGAAGACTTATTGTTGCTTCGAGTTGTTTCTTCCTTAAT